AAGGGCAAAGGAAAGGGCAAAGGCAAGGGGAAGAGCCGCAAGGGATAAGCACTCCCTGGCGTAGATTCCACCCTGTTAGAAGCAACTTGTCCTGCAACAGACCGGACTTGAAGATGTGATCCGGAGTGACCTTCGCTGCTCGACGAAACTTGACTTGTCGCTGGTCGAGCCGCGCGGTGACCGACGCTGTGTGCGTCGTGTCGGGCATCATGAACCACATGCATGCACCACTGCGATGCTCCGGGATGCCTCACTGGTATTATGAGTGGCAGGACGGCATGCAATCGCCAACACTTCGCTGGCTCTGTGGCGTCCCTGGACACAGCTGAATATGCTTTGATTCGTCGTTCGGGCCGCCGTGCACTGTTGACGGGAGGGAGCTGCATTTGACGGCCCTTTGCCCACACTGCAATTGGATGGGAATGACTGGGGTCTGCCGATCTTTGCCGTAGAAGCTCTCCAGCTAGCCACGGGCAGGCTGGAGGCTGACATTGGGCCGCAGGAGGAAACTTATCAGCAAATCATTCATCGCTAAGACTAACGTATGCGGGACCCAGACTGCATGATCTAAAAGAAAAGACTTACATATCGTGCCACGACATTCCACAAGCAGTGGGGCGGTCCCAGCGGAATGGGACCGGCGCTTCGGCCCCGGTGCCCGTTGAACGCGTCGGCGATTCCGTTGGCTGAACACAAAGTTCACCTAGACCCCTTAGCTCTAGCGGTCAGCACGAAGGTGTCGCACACAGCCTATTTTCTCAACTGACCTGTGCTCGGGTCCCCTGAATCCCGGTCCAACTCCATCACCAACGGCTACTACCACCGGCGCCATATGCTCGAAGTATGCATCAAACAGACGAAGCGCTCTTCCAGCAAGACGATGGCAGATGCAGGACCCCAGAGGCGCATGGCGGTGGCGCCACTCCGTCAACGGCGACAGCGAAGAAGCCTTTGTCGTTCCACATAACCTTTCTGGCGTTGAACATCATGGTCTTGATCGTGTCGCTCGACGCCACCATCCTGGCGGTAGCGATCCCAGTTAGTGCGAGCCCGATCTGGAGGAACAATCCCGGGAAGAGTGGCATGGTACTGATAGCGCAACGTTAGGACATAGCTCGTCAGCTCCGTGGAACGACACTCACAGCGTTCTGGGCAAGCATCTCCTTCATGCTTGCAGTAGTCGTCACCCAGCCGTTGTACACTAGCACCTCAGATGTTCTCGGCAGGAAAATCCCGCTCTACGCCTCCTTTGTTCTTTTCATCGCGGGGTCCGTCATCTTCTCCATCGCCCAGAGCATGTCGACGCTCATCGCCGGCCGTATCCTTCAAGGTCTCGGTGCAGGTGGCATTGACGTCCTCGGCGAGATCGTCGTTGCCGACATGACAACGCTCAAGGAACGACCACTCTACCTCGGTCTTCTTGCCATTCCCATGTCGGTGGGAAGTATTCTCGGCCCATCGGTCGGGGCCCTCTTCAGCCAGCGGTTGACCTGGAGGTGGATTGGCTGGATCAACCTGCCCATCGCGAGCTTTGGTCTCGTACTCGTATTTTTCTTCATGAAGCTGCGACCACTTGGGGGATCGATGGCCATCCGACTCCGTCGTCTCGATTGGGTTGGGATGGTGCTCTTCACGATCGGCGCCACGGCGTTTGTCGCGCCTCTCAGCTGGGCTGGTTCCATGTACCCATGGAGCTCGTGGAAGACATTGCTCCCTTTAATCCTCGGTGTGGTAACACTCATCGTGTTCGCGCTGTATGAGTCTCGCCCGGTCGAGCCCGTACTGCCCCGTCGACTGTTCAAGTCGGCGACTGCTATCGTCTCGTACTGTGGATCCTTCATCCACGGCATGGTGGTCTACTGTCTCTTGCTGTACCTTCCCCTCTTGTTTCAGGCTGTGTGGCTCGAAACCCCACTGCAATCGGCCGTGTCACTCCTGCCACTCAGCATTATTACCGTCGCCATCAGCGTCGTGTCTGCGGTGTCGGTAGAGTTCACTCGACGGTATCGGTGGAATATCTGGTCGGGGTGGGTCTTCTTGGTGGTGGGTCTTGGGCTTCTCTCGCTGCTCGGGCCGCATGCATCCACGGCTGTCAAGTACAGCGCGCAGGTGATAACGGGGGTGGGCATCGGCGCCTTGTATACGATCCTTGTGCTTCCCGTTCAGGCGACGGCGCCGAGCGTCGACGACACGGGGCTCGCAGTAGGGATGTTCGTCTCGTTCCGGTTGTTTGGGGCACTGGTCGGTCTGGCGGTCGGGTCGACAGTTTTCAGCAGTGTCTGGGAAAGGTCAATTGCGGATCTTCACGGGCTACCCAACACGATTGGCAGCCTACCAGGGTTGCAGAGTGGACATGAAGCGGTTCAGCTGATCCCTTCGCTCAGGACACTCGAGCTTCCACCTGATGCATTGACATTGCTGCTGGGCTTGTATGATAGATCGATTCGCGCCATTTGGTATGTCCTTATCGGGTTCTCTGTCTTTGGGCTTGTAAGCTCCCTCCTCACCAAGGAAGTCACGTTGGACAAGGAGGACATGGGCAGGCAGAGATTCGAGGACGCTTAGGTAGAACATGAGATTGATTGACGCAAAAACTAGGCTGCAAAATGATCGCACGGCGGGTTTCAATAATCAGGTTGGGTGCCGGTTTGGTACTTGGGTGATGGTCGGGGCAACATGCGTGACTTGCAAGGCCTAGGTGGTGATGGGTGAAGCATGATGTTAGGTAGAGGGGCAAGCGGTAGTCGTGCTCCAGCTGAGGGCTGCAGCTCTAGGTAGAAGGAACGAGGGACACCTGTTTGGCATCCATAAGTGCTGGAAGGTGGACCTGCGGGCGGTGGTGCGGGTGTGCACTAAGCGCCGCTCAGTGAGTGGGCTGGCGGGGGTGGGGTGAGCGGCCCACCCACCATTCCCAAACCAGCCCACCCCACCCTCGGGCCTTGATAAACGAGTTTACCACCGTTGCATTCCATCAAACAGGCACAGCCGCACTGAAAACAGCGTGTACAGCTCCGCTGGCGCACGAGCTCAAGTTGGGCGGCTTTGACGACGACCTCGACGAGGAATTTAGCCACAACCCTTGGCATGGGAGATACGTGCATAAGGATGAGCGAGAGGGGCCCTTTCGGGACTATTTACGGGACGCCGGGTATTTCCAAGCTCCCTCAGGCTATCTCCTATCAGTTCGTGAGAGGATCTAGGTTGTTTGCACTATGTCGGACTGGTACTCGGATCCAGGCTACGGCGTGGCTTGGGCGTTGCCACACGTCGCGGTGTTTGGTGGAGCTGTGCTGGCCTGTGGACGGGCTGTTTGTTACACGGCGGAGTTGTGTTGATGACCTTCTAGGGCAGTTTTCGGGGCAAACGTTATTTCGTGGAGGGGACAAGGGAGTTGGCACTCCCGCACATTGCCCATGGTAAAGTATGGACGGACAGCATAAACATTCGCTACATGCCCTCCTGACCTGGTTCCTCCTCCCAGATGCATTGGCCATCTTCCCACGACTAGTCATGTTTTCAACCCCAACCCAACCCAAACAAAAAGTCGGCTCGGAAAATCGGGTACACTCACGAGCAACTTCTGTGTCAAAACTTCCCGCTCTTTCCAGCATGGCGGGCGACTCCCCCTTCTAGAAGCGACTTGCGACCGCTAAAAATGAAGTAGAAGATTGGGTAATCGTGCAGGCGGCAGTGCGCGCACTGTAAGGCGCTGGGACTGCACTCTTGCTCGGCTCTTGGACACGACCGAGAAAGGCGGGACTCGGTCATCGTCGAAGTCCCAGTCGGCATGTGACGTCATTGTTGTGCTGGCCTCGGGATCGGAAGGAGCCTTGCTGTAGTTGCCCAGAATTCACTCCCCTCGGTGGCGCGAGAGGCGCTATCTGTGGCAGAGGCAATTGTCTAGTCGCACCTTCCTAGTCTTCTTCGGCTCCTGGCTTTTCGACGCTGTTTGTGCTTCTGACAGCCGGTCCCGGCTGCTCGAGGGTGGCGAGCGGTGAATGCTCCGGTCGCGGCAGGTCCAACACCTGTGATCTCCGCCCCTGTTGTGGTCCAGCTTGGCGATCTGTTTCGAGACGAGTTCCTCTTGTCGCTGGTGATTGGATTAGCTACCGCGCGTCTGAAGTGTCAATTTGGACCCCCGAGGCCCAAACGAAGATATGGTGTTGGTTTTCGCGGAAATCTCTGCTTTTTGGGGTAGCCTTCCGGCTCGTCAGCCTTCCCCCAGGGGCGCAGACCTGCGCTCCCGCTCGGTCAGAAACCTAAGACGTCAGAGTTTTAAAGAGATAGATGGCCAGAGTGAGGAGATCACTCCATTTTACGAGACATTGGGGGACCCGAATACTTCAAAACCCTTTTTCGCCTGGGGATCTCTTGGATGTGCCAGTCGGACAAGTATCCCGGTGGCTGACCTAAGCGACTTGTGGCGCTTGGGAGAGTGATGGGCCGCATCATGCAAACCTTCAGTTCGCTGAATTTTATTGATACTGCTTTGTATTTCAGTGACCTTAAATAAATCGAAGGCATCCGCAATGTTCATCAATTCGGGGCTGGGTCACACAATCCCCACCCAAATACCATTGATTCTTGTCGCCCGTCGTTCTTTGTGTTTCCGCGAAAGACGTAGCATTTTGCAATTCTTCTGCCACGCGCCTGAAAGCAGTAAAAAACCTCAAACACAAAAGAAAGGCATTGGCGCCGGGTGATTGCACAAGTTGGGTGACCCTGTCCATGACGCATGACAGACTTCTGCATTCTCATCAGTAAATGATGTCACAGTCGCACCCGTCCATCACTGACTGACAAGGGGCGATGTGCTTGCACACGTCCCACCCCGTGGTGCGTGTGCCATGCAATGGTTGTCGTGCCTTCCTCATCTTTGCTCCTTCCTCCCACCACATGGATGCCACGTGCTGCCCCTCCCCCTCCCCCGCAGAGCCACGCATATCGCATGAACATCTTCAAGGTTGTCAAAACAACCACCAAAGCAGCAAAAAGAGCATCGCCCGAAGTGGGACTCGAACCCACAACATTCAGATTAAAAGTCTGACGCGCTAGCCATTGCGCCATCCGGGCACGGACCACCTTATCAAGTTGCTGTGGCTGTGCTGGCTGATGGGAGGGTTGTGCGAAAATTCTCTTTATGAAGGTTGATGGTAGGTGTGGCTATTCTGGGAAGAGTGGGTGGGCCACCACCCCGCCCCAGCCAGCTCACCCCACCATCAGTGTGCACCTGCCAACAACGTTCGACGACGCCCGCACCATCACCCGCAAACGCCACCTTCCATCCATGGTCTCTCCTGCCTTCAAAGTCTTTGATGGTGTCCGCCATTTTGACATCATGGTCCCGCCCCAGTCCAGCAACGTGCGCAACTGCAGGTTCAAGAGTGAACGACGACCACGGCTCAATGTGCATGGGTGACCAGGGCTTTTGACAAACGCCAAGAAATGACCAGGCCTTCGTTCAAGCGGCACCATGGGAGGCTGGCAAGACGATGGCGCACAATCAGTAACAGTGCAAGATGGAGGAATGCCAAGCCGCAACTGGATTGTCGCAAGCAACCCTCCCCCTCGCCAAGCGGAGAGCTCAAATGCTCCAAGCATTGTATAAGTACGCAAGGCAGCCGAACATCACCTAATATTCCAATTTCCTTTAGCATTCTAACAAAATAAGTTTTCCTCAGGTTACAGGGCTTTCGAGCGGACATAAGCTCAACCCATCGGGGCCGGACGCCAGCCTTGAAAGAGAAGATCAGACACCGGGCCCTTGAAAGAGAAGATCGGACACCGGGCAGATAAAGCGGGGGGGGGGCGGGCACTGGGCAGATAAAGAAGAAGATTGGACACTGGGCAAATAAAGGGGGGCCGGGCACCGGGCTTGAAAGAGAAGACCTGACACCGTGGTCCCTCCCCTTACTGCAACATTCAGAAATTGGGACGATCTATTACCACTAAGGTAATACGGATGAGAGCAAAGAAAGAAAGAAAACATCAAAGTATACATCTTCCACTGCATTGATGATTTCAACCTTGCAACACACCAGTCTAAACCACGACTACGTAAACTGCTGGTCTTGTTAGTACTGAGCTGCTCAGGGGGGATTGGAGGAAAGACAGTGGGAAGTTGAGCAGGGGACCGCGGGGTTCTACATAACAAAGGCGCTTACCTAGTAATATTGATGGGAACAAAACGGGAGATTCGGCGTCGTTCGTCCTCCGAAGAGTCACCGATCATGATGACCTCTGGCTGTGGTTGGACCGGGACTTGAGCAGGTTCGCCATGTCCAGCCATGTTGGCCTTCCCAAGACGCCCCACTCCTTGAGTTATGGCAAGGTCATTTCAAGCTACATTGTATATCAACGGTTGCAAGACTCGACCACACCGTCGGCCCCATCCGTCATGATCCCTTATAACTAGGCTGTCCCGCTGTTCCGAGATCCTTGCCGTTCGTTGCTGCAGCCGTGCCCATTCCGTTTTCCTTGCCACCCCGACTTTTGAGGGGGGTACTGTTTTAATCTTGGGAAAACACCTATATTTAAGCCGGCTTTGAAGCCACCCAACGGGTGGAATTCCCCCCGAAATAATAAATAACCCTAAATATTTTCATCTGCAGGTATAATTACAACCTCTAGGCCCTTTCAAAAGGCGCCCATACCTTTTCAAAGCGCCCGAGGCCTGTTTAATCAGCGATAACGCCTAGTCTCCGGGGGAAGGGCTTTGGGATGGGACGGAGCGAGAGGTGTGAAGTTACAACATCCCCCAAGCCCACGGTCCCCAGGTCACCAGCGCCCCACCCCCCAGGTCCCAGCATCCCCGACGCCGTAAGTTGACGCGCACCAATAGAAGATTGGAGCAGATGCAACTTTAAATACGGTGTTGCTCGCGTTCCGGCCGGAAATTTTTATGTATTTTTATTGAGCTAAATATATTTTTGAGACACTTTGGTACCCTTGTTTCCCTGCCTGTGAATGAGTCGTTAATTTACATACCGCCCTCGCTCCTACTGCGTTGCCCACCGCGTTGCCCATAACCCCATCGCCGTCTCCCCTTAGCTTAAATAGAGAACCGAAAAACAAAAACAGCTTAGGGCGCCGCATGGGCGGCCGGACACCGCTCTCCTCCAAACTCCCCGGTGCCCTTTCAGGGCACCGTAGTGGCCGGGTTCGCCCGTGCAGCGCTGTAGGCCGTTGGTGAATTATCGGCTTGTCCATTTCAGCTGGAGGGAAAGCTGTTTCGACAAGGACAGTGCCGAGGGTGCAAGTGAGCAGTTGGATACGTGACGGCTAGGTCTCTTCTGCCCCAGCCAATTCCGTCCTAGCCAGACGAAGGGTTCCACGCACGAACGCAAAGCAGGGTCATGTATGGCCGTTGTGGTATTGAAAGATGAGACCAGCTTGGGCACCGTTGGGAGAACCAGAAGTTCAAGAATTACGGTCAAGGCCTCGGTCCTAATCTTCGGATGACAAAACCCACAACAATACCGTCGAAAGAATCTCCGGTAGTCCCGATGGACTCATAGGCACTCCGTGATGTCGCACTACCTCCAGCCTAATGTCCAGCCATGCCTCCCGTGTAGTCCCGTGAACCTTCGGACCACCAAATTACTACTGTGCTTGGTGCTCCTTCGCTTGGCTGGAGACAACAGTCATGGTGTAAACTCAACGCTTCATTTCAAGAGGTGCTGGGCACTGTGCAACGAGAATGCGAGGGTCTGGTGAGGTGTGTTGGGTCTTGCGTCTGCCCCGCGCCGCCAAGACTCGCCCGAGGAGCGGGCAGAAGACAGAACGGGCTGAGGAAGGATTATCCACAAACCTCAAAGGCAAAAATTGCCCAGGATTTACGCCCTTTCTCGCCATCCCTCTCCATTTTTTCTCCAGCCGGTTGTGAGTACAGCCCAGTTACTGTGTACCTTGCGTCGTCCCCGCGACCTCCCGTCCATGTTCCCTTCCCCTCTTTTCTGCTCGCCGAGTTTACTGACGCCGTCGCAGATTTTGGCAAACCTGCTTGACCTTCGGCTCTGCCTCGTACTTTCACACCCGCTTCGGGATGGTTGTGTTGCTGCTAGGGCATGTAAGGTACTTTTCTAATATCTCCTGCTTCATATCCAGCCCCCAGTTTTGTTCTAGTAGGATTTTTTTTTTCATTTGGCACCTACGTGTTACTATACATGCTAACATCTCAGCAGACAACCGTCGCCAGCGCCTATTCTCGCAGCCCACAAGTTGCTCTGCACGGCACGGTTGGCTAATTCGGGTACTAGTGCCCAGCGGCGACCGGCGCCCTCCCTTTCACCACCCGCGCTGTTGTTTCTCTGGCGGAGCTATCCCGCGGTGCCGCCGCCGCCACCGCTACTGCCAAAGTTTGTGCCGTAGGTTTCTCTTTCAATCATCAAATCTTACACCTGGTTCTAACACGATCTTAGCAGGCTCGCGGCTATACCCCGGCCCCTTGCCCCCCGCGCCCCTCAGATTCCCATTGGCAACGCCCCCGCCCATACTCCCGACGCCGCCATCCCAGTCACCGACGCCGCCATCCTTAGTATCACCACTAGTGTCGCCCGGCTGCCCGGCCGCCCACAAGCAACGTCAGGATCAAAGAGTTAGACAGTCAGACAATATCGTCGGATGAGACTGCATTCATATAGGGGTGGACGTCGACATTGTAAGTGCGCTACCTATTTTGGCCAGCCCATATGTTTACTGACCAGAGATTGGCGCAGATGCGGTAGTAAACAAGTTTTGTTGGCAGAAAAAGACGGGGAGAGACAACGAGCACAAGATGGAATAGCATAGCCGTAGGAACAGAAAGAGAATTCAGGAAACGCCAACGTTCGCCTTTCATCCCTTCAAATTCATCAAAACCCCCGGCTGCCGCTCTTCCAGCCTCCGACACAGCGAGTCCCAGACCTCATCTGTCTTCCTGGCGTCCATTGCAATGGAGTGGTACTCCCTCACTTCCCCACATCGCATATACTTCCCGTGTGTCACCCTCCCGGCAGAAGCCGCTTGAACGACCAGACGGGAACCCTCCTCAGCAGTGCGCGCCGTGATGGCCTGGAAGACCTTCATGAAGAACTTGAGCGGGCCTGTGAGATCACTTCCCAAACCAGTCTTGCAGAAGCAGGGGTCAAGCGAGTTGATGACCAGGGTGTGAGGGTTTGTCGTCCCCGGCGTATCAACGAGAGCGCTGAGACGGATGATGGTGAAGATCTGCAGCAATTTGGAGAGGTTGTACCTGATGTACGCGTTAAGTGGGTGACAACATGAGGCCATTTACAAGGATGGATGGAAACGTACTGGTTCACTTTATCGACATGCTTCTCATCGGCGAACCAGGCAAACAGATCTTCACCGCGGGTATCTGGAAACTTTGCGTCTTCATACAACGCCGACGAGACCGTTGTCATATGCGGCGTGACACCAAACTTCTCAGCGGTCTCTTTGAGCTTTTGAATAAGCTGAAATGCAAGCAGGAAAGTGCCGATGGTGTTGACCGCAAGCGCACGCTCGGTGCCGTAGGCGAGTTGGAACCCGCTCATGGTGTGGATGCCGGCATTGTTGATGACCACGTCCAACCTGCCGAGGGAATTGGCCTTGTCGACAAAGGCCCTGACCGACTCCGGAGATTCAATGTCAAGCTCCCACACCTCGAGAATCTCGGGGGAGCATTTCAGCGTTGTCTCGATCTCGCGCTTGGTTGTGGTGCCTTTTGTGTGGCTGCGACAGGCGAGGATGACTTTGCTTGCGCCGAGGCGGACAATGTGCTGAGCGGTTTCCTTGCCGAGACCTCCATTTGCGCCGGTGATGATGACGGTTTTTGAGGCAAAGGAGGCGGTGGGTACCGGGATTTTGAGGAGGAACTGGGCGCGGATGAAGTCGCTGAGGGTAGGCATGTTGCTAAGTACTTGAGAAGTGATTTTAAAGTCTGCCGGGCTGGTTGTGATGTGTTTTGCCGTGCTGGAAGCCTTTTATGCGAGTTCTTTGCCATTCCAAGCCGGTGTTAGTGACAAGTCCACGGACTTGATGGACCCACTTTTCCCGTGTGGAGGCCGGAGAACGCCGTGATCTCCGCGGAC